ACGCCTGGTTGGGCTCATTGTGAGCGCGTTTTATTAATTTGCATTGTTACCGACAATTACGGTTAACGGCAGCGACGTGAGTTATATAATAATAATGACCAACCGGTGAAGAAGTGGGGGAGAAACACGAAAATATTGTTTCTTTTTCGCGTTTTTTTTTGTTTTTTGTTGGACAGGATGCGGTCTGGGATTTATTGAGTACGTTTTTTGTGCGGTTTTACGTTAAACGACAATGCGAATTCGATATATGTATGTATGTACCTTATTTAGGTAAATAAAAGGAAACAGGAAAACCAATATCGATTAACTTCAACAAAAATAAGATATGTTTGACGTAAATTTCTTATGTAATTAATGAATGGAAACAAATTTTAAAGTCATTTCATTCATATGCTTCTGTATAATTTATTTAATAAATGAATATAAATTATGTAATCAGATATTTGGACAGAAAGACATAGTTTCATAATCTTTTTAAAGCCAATAATAATATTAAAGCCAATAAAATCAAATATGTGATCTGAAAGACTAAGAAAGAGTTTCAATTTAGGGACAATAACCATGTTTATTCATAAATGAAACACAAGTACTATATATGGGTCAAAATTACCGGTTTATTAAATATGGAAAACGAATGTTATTCGACTTTGAAATCCAAATATTGATGATATTTCAAGAACGTAATTGCTAAAGATGGGTCACTTTGACCCGAAATATACTCTACAATAAAATAAGTACCTCACGTCACGACTGCTTTGCTCCGTCTGAAAAGTGCACTAGAAAATGATAGAATAGCAATTAAATTATAATAGAATAACAAATATCAATTGGGTCATTATGACCCATCCATAGTACTTACGGGTTAAAGTTATAATAAATTAAGTCTCATAATTTAAGCAATATTTTCATTGTTGATTTCCAAAAAAATACAGAAATATCAACGGTTATATGTAGAAACTGAAGTATTGTTGTTTAATCTACCAATGGTTTATTTAAAAAATAAGTAATTTTCTTTTGATAAATGGAAATGATTCATCTTAAGTTTTTCTATATCATATTCTACAAAACAATTTTATTATATTTGCTTTATTTGCATCTATTTTCTATGAAAAAAAAAATATATTTTGTGATCCGAACCCAGCAGAAATTAAAATCAATGACTTTGGGATTTTTCCCCCAAATCTGCGGTTTTACCTAGTACATCTAAAATTTCTGAAGGTCGTTCCAAAAAATATACCGTTCGAATCTCAGCTCCAAATTCCCAATTATAGTATTTTTCTTTACATAATTGCATTCCCAAAATATAAATTCGGAAATACTTCACCTCGATCAGTCTGGATTCAATATAGTACGGTTTGTAAATTTCAAAACAAACAAAGTTAAATATAAATTATTATTGATATTATATGTTGATATTCAAGTAAATGGAAAGTAAACGATGTGAAACAAGAATTGAGGTAAAATATTTGGTCAATTGAATGTTACAAAGATGCCGTAGCATTGATTCAACAGACACACCACATCCAATTTAAATTCTTAACCATGCGAAATGAAGAAAAAAACGCTAAAAAAAATAGAAGAAACGCACATAAAATGAAACTAACGATTTCTAATGTACCTAGTTATAAAGTATACACAGGCTGAGAAAAAGCAAACAAAAAAAAAATGAGCTTAAATTCCGAGTTTACGAGGTCTTCGATATTCATGCCTGTTACCAAACAAACGTCGATCTGGAACCGTATCAACATCAAAACTTTTTGACCGGTATATATACCTGTCTTTCGGTTCCTTTTTTGTTGTTGTGTACATTAGATCATCCTCTTGTCTTCTTTCAGCTCGTGGTGTTTGTATTTGTGTTTGTTTTAGATGTTGAGTTTGTTTGCTGAAGGCGGCCGAAGAGCAAACAATCGACCGTCGTGCGTACACACACCATTTACCTCCAATCGAGCATTCAGTCTTTAATTCGTTTTATTTCATTGTTGCGTGATCATCAATTGGATTTAGGTCTTAAACGAAAACCGCAGTTTTAAATTAGAAATTCTTAAGTATTCTGTTCTGGAGAGAAGAAACGAAACGGTTCTTCGATTATTTTAAGCTACTTTAGTTTGGATTTATAAATGAATTTGTGTGTATTGTTTATACGCAATGTTTTATGATATTACACTAAAAATTGTAATGATTTTTTTTAATTGAATCAGAAAATGATAATTATATTAAAATTTTAATACAATAAAATGACAATAAACCACATAAATTCGAGTATATTTTTTGAATAACTTATTCATTCAAGTATTGATTTTTTTTCTAATTAATTAAGTAATTAAAACTTGTTTAATTAATATTAGTTAATAAATTACTTTCAAATTTCTAATTTGTACAATTATTACATCCAAAAGACATGTTTTTTTTTGTCCAAGCAAGAGCGACAAGAAAACAGCAACGATATGTGACATATGCAAAATACTAATTTGTTCTAACTGAAAAATATAGTTTGAAATAATGTAAAATTCATTAATAAAAATAATCTGCGTTTGTTGTAAAAACTAATAATTTGTTCTATTTTTTGTAATGTTTAATGATCGGGTCATTTTGACCCATACTATTTGTGTTTCATGTATTTGTCCGTAGTATAGTTACAGTTTAATTTCAGTTATCATAGTTGACTTTTCTTTATTTTTAATGATATTAATTGACTTTAATTTATTTATTTATTTTTACTTTAGCTTTCCTTCCATGACTTTTTATAAATTCTAAAGATGTTAATTTTTGAAAAATTCAGTAATTCAAAAATTCGTGAGGTAAAATAATTTGATGAAAGAACGTAGAGATATTTATCAAAAAAAAGTTAATATTTTTATTACACTTTTCTTACAAATACGAGCAAAATTTATATATATACTTACCATTATACTTAAATCCACTAACAAGTAAAAGAATTAAGTTAGATTAGTGTGAATTTTGAACTATACTATTATTTCATACAAAAAAAATTCGCGAAAACTTGTATATATAAATATGTAATTAATAATTTTCTTAATGATTGTGACTGTATTACTGCCACCATATGGTGCTTATTGACCTAAATTTTAAATTTTGAAACATCAGGTACTTTTTGCAAGTGTATAAAATTAATGCACGTTGTGGATGCAACAGCATTAGAAACCTTTTAATATCTTAAAAAAAAAATATTTTTCAATAAACCATTTATAGAATTTATTAATTATTAATTTCTATTAAACCGTTCAATGTAAAATGAATATTAATATAAAATACTCAATATTTTCACTTTCTTCATCTATATATAGTACACTCAGTTTGAAGAAAGTTCAAAGAATAAATGTTTAATAATCACATCCATGAGTAATGGAATTGAACGGATTCCTCATATTGCGTAATTGCGTTGAATTCGCAGACGAGGTTTTATTAAAAGTCGTGTCGATTTAGATTCTCATTAGATCATAATTATCCACGAGAAGAAGTAGAAGGGCTGTTGACCCGACGGCCAGTTGAGACGACACATAATACCTACCGCCAATTAATATAGGTAGAACCAGTTTGAATAAACAAAAACAAACAAAATGTATAAATACAAAACAGAAGAGAGTGGAAAATCGAATGAAAAGCGGAATTATCATTATTATATAATTTTATTTTAGACTGTACATATATAGAAATACAAGGTGATGGAATCCTCTGGCTGCACGTGTGTGTGTGTATTAGTGAGAAGGTAACAACAGGAGAATTATCAATGGTTTTTCTTTACTTTTTTGTTCCATTCGGTTTGGTCATAATCATTCCATTGGGAAAACGGACGTAATCACACCCATGCATAGTTGTGTACACGCACACAAACACACGTGCGCGCATACGTACAGTGGCTCAGATAACGAACAACAAATAATTAATCAAATGCTCGATTGTGGAGGATGAATCTCGGCGTAAGCGTTAAGGAGAGTGAAAGAGGAATATAGAGAGAGATCAGTGCCCAGTTTCCAAATCGAATAACCAATTTAATGAGGATATTTAGTCTGCCTTTCAGACACGATGATGCACTTCATCTCTTCGAGGATGGAGCCTCCTAATTGGCGGAATCTCGCCCGTTGCCACCTAAGTACATATCATGATGATGACGCCTTGAATGGAAGTCATTACCGAAAGTGCCACCGCCTCGCTTCGAAACTTATTATTTAATAATATTTTCTATATATATATATATATATAGATACATATATATAATATGTATACAACGAGTTTCTTGGAAGCCGTTCTCACGCACAGTTCTTAATCACTAATTAGTGTTTGTCGAGGGGGGGACCTCTCTTCCTCTATCTCCTACCTCCTGCATTGTTGCACCTCAATTCATCGAACACATGTCAATAATAATCCATAATTATACGCGGACGCAAAGAAGGGATACGCTGCATGCCATCGAATTCATTCAATTATTTCATCTTTTTCTTCATGTTTTTTTTTTATTATCATTATCATTAATAATCAATTTCTACATCTGTACATTAAAAAACTAAAAATTATAATGCACAATTTTGTACTGTTTTAAACAATAGTATGTACAACGAAATGAAAACGAAACCGTGGAACTTGACAAATATATAATATATAACACGAACGACACGTACTTTAAGTAGATTGGTTTTAACGCCCCAACAAAAAAAAAAGAAAAAGAAAAAACAAACGTAGATGAGCTATTTACAGAATGTGTGCAGGACTTTCGAATGATTCGTTAAATTGCACGGGTTTCGATTCTTTATCATCATCATCATCATCATCAACATAATCGTCATCATCGATAACAAAGCAAGTTCTAGTTTACAATTTTACAGTCAATTAAATATTGTCTACACAACACTTAAAAGCGGAACAAATAAATTAATAAGGGAGGAAACAAATATATCTTTCTTTACACGAATTCTCGTTAACTATATGTATGTATATGTTTTTTTTTTATATATATAGAGAGAGACAGATAGAGTTTTTCCGGTTTATGTTACACTTTATCACAATTTAAAAAAGTTTTTGCGGTTTTTAGGATGAGGGCTCTTTTACACGTGGATGGTGTCCTCGTCGTCGCTTGGGGATCTTCGTCCTCCGGTACCGGGCGATCCTGGATCCAAGGGTGCATCGGGGCTGGGGGATCGCGGAGGAGGCGCGTCCGACGGATTGCCGCTGTAGTAGCTGGAGAGCGTGCTCAGCGAGCTGCTCGCGGCGAGGGAACCTAGGTGCGCGCTTGGTCCAGGCAATCCTAGGCCCATGCTGGGTGGGTACAGTCGGTAGGGGAGAGGTTTCTGCAACGTCACCGCTGCTGCTGCCGCCGCCTGCCTGTAGTAGATGTCTGCGGCGCTGGGAGCGGCGCTTTGTCCTGGCTGTGGAGGGTACCAGCAACCATATGGTGGAGCACCGTACAACCTTTGGAAGGCCGCGTAGTTCCCTGCTTCCGCCAGAAGCTCCAGACCGACTGCCGTCTGTCTCTTCCACTTCGTTCTGTAACAAAAATACAATCTGTTAGACTCATCGATTCATTTCACTCTTAATAGTTATAGGATTATAAAGAAAGTATAATATCATCTATTAAAAAAACACTTTAATACTAAAACGTTAATTTTTGTTAATTTTTCATATATTGAACTATATTCTATGGAACTAATAATAGCTATTATCGGATTCATATAAATGTAATTAATAATAAACTATAATATATCATAGGAAATTATTGAATAATAAAATATTAAAACAATCTTACAATTGTTTATAAGCCTTAATTTATAAGAGGAAGAAAGTTATAATATTTTACATCAGTGGTTCTAAAACACATTTTTTTAATTTTCTCCCTTAACAATGAAACACATTGGAAGTAAGTTGCACAGATTCTGACGTAACAATAATGTTGACGTTTGTATTATTGTTGTTTTTTTTTACAATTCATAATTCTAGGAACAACCGATTCTGACGCATAAATATATATTTTTTTAATTAATTAACATTCATTTTTTAATTACTACGCGCACGTCTGGTGCGTTTTCTGTTATTACTTTCATACATTTTTTTTGTGTAAGTATTTTCAATCGAATCGGTTTCTTTCTGTTGGTCACTCACAACCGGTCGCGATTTTTACTTTTAAAACCATCAGTTGCAGTTAATTAGTTATAACTCGTAAATGGGCAATATAATTCCTTTTAATTGATGCTGTTTACTCCGTTAATCGCCCGAAAAGGATGCGACGCGATGCGACGAGGCGTTTTATCATTCCGATGGATTTGTTTCTTGCCTACCGTCCCAGCAATTAGTTTAATTGAATTCATAATTAATTTTCCTACCGAGTGCAGCAGCAGCAGCAGTAGAAGCTTCCATTTCTACGTGCTCAGTCGCGAAGAGTTTCTCGGAAACTCCTTTTGTTTTCCGCCCAATGTTTTCCACTCGTTTTTCGAATAGATCTCCCGGCATGAGGCGTGAAATCCAACCATGACAGCACGTATTGTGTCGATGTTTACTTGTGGACAGAAAGGCAAAGAAAGGCCGTGTTAAATGTGGCACCGATGATCTTCGCATCGTCATCAAGATGATATCGGAGTTTGATGATGAAGATGATCATGGTTGTTTTAGTTGTCCTTTTTATTTTTCCTAACGGATTGTGTAATTGGACGTCGATTTCGCACCCCAACGGAGGTAATAATTTATTGGACACGAACCCCCTTCTCTTTCTCTCTCTCTCTTTCCTCTATAAGTATATATATCTTTTACCTGATGACAAATGACCATTCGCACAAAAGCGCGCCAACCTTTAAGAAGTAGCCGAGTGTAATAAATTCCAGTTGCAAAGTATGCGCGTCCCCCTTTACCGACAATACGCTAATATGCAATAATAGATGTAATTTTACATGACATTACAGCATATGTCGACAGGCCAGAAGTACATGCATTATAATCACATTAGGAATTCCGTTCGCTTCTCGTTTCACTACTTCTCATTCTCTCTTGTCTTCTTTTCCATTTATTTATTTCATTCGTGTATGCTTTTTTGTGTCCTTCCTCCTTTGCTTCCACTAATAGATCATCACAATAATCTTGCGTAATACGTCACATGAGTGCGCAAACCGTCGATTAATCAGGACCGTTATTCCGGGCAGCAGAAAAAAAAGGGGAATTCCAGGGATAAGGAAGTGCACCGATAAAACACAAATTCCAGTAAAACTGATATCGCCGGAACCGCAAGTAATTTACAAAACACGTGCTGCGGGCTCCTTTCGAAATCATTGATTTGAGTTATTATTTTCTTCTTTTTTTTTTTCGGTTTTTTGGTTAAGTTCTTCTTGGGTTTTGTTTCCGTCGGCTGCTAATTTAGAGTCTCACGATTTTTATATTTTATTTTTTTTTGGGCGCTCGGCAATAATTGTTTGTCGGCGCCTGTGCGCCACGTCAGCACTTTCCTTGGGTCCTCCCGACAATTAGGTGACTAAATGGTTTCAAACAAAAGCGGCAACGTTTCCATAAAAGAAGAGGAGGAACGACAAGATGAACAACGAAAAGAAATAACACGAAATTGCTGTTACCGACGTGCTGACCAAACATTATTAATTACTTGTTATTTTCAATTATACTGAAACTGATAGATCTCAAATATTAGAAAATTTGTAGTTTTTATTAAAATATCTTCTATTTACTTATTAAGTCTTACTAATCTAAAACTTGTGTATTAATATGATCACCCAATTACGTTGCTTAACTTTAAAGTTTTATAAAGTCTCAAATATTAGAAATGTTATATTTGAATAACTTTTTATGTACTTTCATATTACAATATCTCCTATTTACTTATTACGTCTTACTTTAAATTTTTATAAATATGAAGAGCAACAAAATATAAAATTTGTAATATTATGTATAAGTTAATGAAATTTAGGTATGAACAGTTGTAGTAAGAAAATGTGGTTAATTAAGAAGCATAGTTGAATAATTCGTTTTTAATGGTTTTCCGTTTGTGAATTAAATGGAACCGTATGTTGTTGCCCAAAGTGTAAAATGGTAGTCATTTCGGTAATTTGCGGTTTTCTTCTGCTAGCGAAGAGACGGTGAAGTGGTGCTGTGCTGCTGCTTCTGCCGTTATTGTTGTCGGAACGAGCACCCCTGAGGGGGAGGCGCGGCGAAGGGAAGTTGATTAAATAGGCGGCAGCGGGGGCCGCCCACCCTATTACGCGATGACTGTCACTTTGAGCGACTAATCTACTTATAATAACCCTATGCCCATGTTCGGTCTCAGCAGCAGAAACGGCGGCGGTAACGTTTTGCGAATCCTGCAACCACCCCTGAAGATGGTCTTCCTTTCTTTCCATCGTTCAACGGCGCCCGACAAGACCAATTATTACGAAACGACCAAATGACCTCCCCTCAAGAACGAACACAGTGGATGCAGCAGACATGCCCATCCCAGACCCAGAGATGAGCCTCGAGAATAGAACAACGTCGTCGGCACTCTTTCTCCTCTCGGAACGGGAGGCGGAGGCGTTTCCTGCCTACGTGAAGTGGCACTTTTCGAAAAATCAAAAAAGAATGAAGGAAGAGAGAAAGAAAAAACTGGCTCCTATTGATTTAAGCGAATTAATAACCGCTTTGGGAAAAATTATGGTTTGCTCCGACCGAAAGGCTCTTTGCTGCTGCAGCATCTCCTAACCCCGAGAACCGGGCAAAAACCATTAACTTGTTGGTCGTTACAGCATTAAACAACTGGAGACTGCCTTGTCATTATTTTAAATAGAATTCATTTCTCTCCACGTAATTTTTTTCCCCCTTGATCATCTTTTTTTTTCTCCTTCCCTGTTTGATTTAATTTTCTTGCTTTTTTTTTCCTTTCTTCAAATTGAACCGAACCCAAAAAATCATACCAAACTATTACACGCGGATAAATATCCTTGATTCACATTGAAAGGACTCATATAACCTCACATATTGTGTACGTAAACACGTCGAGAGTTGAATAACGGATACATTAATGATAAATAAAACAGTAATTGCCGACCGGCACGTAATCGTATTGTTGGAGGAGATATGAATACACACATTTATTTACGTGCACACGGTTGGACGTTTAATTAAATCATAATTAACACTTTCTACACACATAGTTCGAACTGGTAAATGAAGAGAAGAGAACAAAAAACAGCAGAAACAAACAACAATAATAATTGTTCTGTCGATGATTACATCAAGAAAATTTCAAAGCAAAATTCAGTTCAATTCACATATAAGTTTAAATCTCCAAAAATAAAACTAGAATTAACAGTTTTTGGAATATTATTAATTTCATTTCCAAAAAAATTAATAAAAATTAACTTTAGCTAATTAAATTTATATAAATAAGTTCAAAATTACGTATTTGAAGTTCACTGCAGAGAAATTAAATTAAATTCGTTGAATTGAAGTTGTTGAAAGTAATGCGGATGCTGGGTTTTGTGGGACCAAACGGGGATGTTTGAACCGTTTGATCCATTGAGAATAGAATTAAATGGTACGTGAAGAATTGAAGTAGTTGTCGCAAGTAGGGTGATGATGATGATAATAATAATGATTGTAAAAAAAAAAAACATGAGAGAGAAATAAATTAATTTGTCCAAATCATGCGGCTGGTTAAGTTCGGGTGCAAAAATTTTAATTAAATTCATCGGGGAGCTTTAGGGTTGGATGGATGGTTGATGACGGCATGCCCAGTGGTGCGAGGAGCAAAGAGGGAGGGAGGACAAACAATATTTCTTGCGGTTGCTCCTGGAAACCGCATTTACATTTTCAATAGTAGCTATAAAATCATTAAAGTTTCGGGTTTGATTTACGAGCGACGCGCTATTTAGAGTGTAATTTATTTGAAGTGGAAGGGCTACCCTTTCGAGTCCCCACAATAGGGCTTCGACTCTCTAATGATGGGGTGGCCGCAAACACACACACACAAAAATAAAATATATTTGAAAGCAAACGCGCCGCATCTTCATTCAAATATCGATTCCGATCCCATTTAACATATACATTTCGCTATTTCCTCTTCAACCCTTTCTTTATTTCGTAGTTATTCGTTCCTCATTCACGTGTATTGATTACCTCTCGCTGCGTGCACAATGCAAATGTTCAACATGACAGGGAAATGTGCAGTTTACAAAGCACGGGTGGATATTACGCCTAATTGTTGGGTGATTGCGTGCGGTCAAGATGGACGTCAAAAGCGAAGAGAGAAAGAATTATAATAGTAAAAGTAAGAGCGCTTTTTTTAAGGATTCCCGGATGAAATCGTACAAATCGAGTACAAATCACGATACCCAACAAATCCATGATAAAGTCGGTGGTAATCGAAATCCCGACAACCATAATCTCGACAGTATCTTTTATTATTTGTATTTTGGTATAACGTATAACGATTATTTCTTAATTTTAAGGTATACTGTCGGGAATTCGAATGTTGGGAATTTGATTGTCGGGATTTTAATATAGAGTTGATATAATGA